ATAGTGGAAAAGAAAAATGGAAACTACTATAATATGTTGGGGATTCTAGGATGTTCTACTTGCGGTGGCTAGTAGGGAATAAGGGAGTACAGTATGCAGATGTTTTTCCCTGCTGTCCACCGGAGGTCTATGATCATGGATTCCCCTACTATACCCTCAAAATCCGCTTCTGTGTTCCCCCCTAGTTGCGATGAATTAGGGATGATGGGCTGGGGGGTTGAATCGGGGGCTAGTAGGGCAATCCATGATATTACCAGCATAAGCAATTGGACCTCAAATCTCAGAAGCGCTATAGATAACAGAACCCCTAAACCCTAAACCCTAAATTACTAAACCCTAAACCCTAAACCGCAAACCCTAAATTACTAAACCCTAAACCCTGAACCGCAAACCCTAGATTACTAAACCCTAAACCCTAAATTACTAAACCCTAAACCCTAAACCGCAAACCCCAAATTACTGAACCCTAAACCCTCAACCGCAAACCCTAAATTACTAAACCCTAAACCTAAATTACTAAATGGCAACTTCCAGGCTCCAGGAGACCCCGATTCTGGCTGAACAAATGCTCTGCTCGCTGCCGGAAGGGTGCCTTCCCAATTTAGGCTTTAGCAATTTAGGGTTTAGGGATTAGGGTTGGGGTTTAGTAATTTAGGGTTTAGTGTTTTGTAATTTAGAGTTTAGTAATCTAGGGCTTAGGATTACGGTTTAGGGATAAAGGTTTAGGATTTAGGATTCAGGGTTTAGGGTGTGGGGTTTAGTGCTGCAGGATTTGGGGCCCAGGGCCCCATCTATACGTAGTCTATATGTGTATATTTATTTATGCCCAGAAATGTAGACCCAAAGAGGGGTCACCAAATATCTATATGTATACATATATATATATATATACAGGTATAGGGTTTAGGGTTTCGGGTACTTGGAAATTCAAGGTAACTGTCAGCCAATCGCAAAGGATTATGTAAAGTTAAGGTAGGGTGTGTATTGGGGTTATATATACATAGGCTTATGTTGGGATATGTAGGGTTTAGGGTGATTCTGACCTAACTATAACTGGTATCTATAACCCGACATCAGGGGACTTGACTGTCTTACTGCCCTGAACGCTTAACCCCAATGGGTGTGCCTTGGCATTCATCTTGGTGGTGGTTTCCAGCAGTTGCACAAAGAGCCGCCGCACGAAGGCCTCGTGAAGCCGGGACCCTGAAACCTGAAGCCCTCAAGCGAAGAATTAAACCCTAAGCCCTGAACCCTCGAGCCCTAGAGCCCAAACCCCCAGAAACGGTAACAAAACCCTATATGCAAACCCTAAACCCTATATACAAGCTCTGTATCATCCCAGTTTCCATTTCATTTGTCCGTTTTCTTGTCCATTTGATTCTCCATTGTTGGCGTCACATCCCTCCCTCAACCCTAAACCCTAAACCCTAAACCTCTAAACCCTAAACCCCTAAACCCCTTACCCCTATATATCCCTCCCTAAAACCATCTAAAACCCTACTTCGCCTCGCGAAGCAGGGACCAGGGCACGGCACAGAGCGAGGCGCCCAGCAGGAGCTCCTCCAAGTCTGGCCACTCGGCCTTGCTTTTTGGGCGGATTTTGTTGGGTTTAGGGTTTAGGGCTTAGGGTTTAGGGTTTAGGGTTTAGGGTTTAGGGTTTAAGGTTTAGGGTTTCGGGTTTAGGGTTTGTTTTGTTTTCGCTTTTGGGGGTTCGATTCTTATTGGTCCGAATGGGGTTTAGAGAATAGGGTTAAGGGTTTTAATGTGTTCAGGTTTAGGGGAGATGCTTGTGAATCCCTTTCCCCGAATATACCCCCCCCCCCCCCCATACCACCAATATTCTCAAAGACCACAAAAAGGGGGAGGGGATTAGTATTGTTACTGGTACTCGCACTATCAGTACAGCGATAAATACAGCATTGTTACCAGTACGAGCAATAAATTACTAGCGTGATAAGTCATAAGTCTTACCATTATTGTTACTCCTGGCGTTACTCTTGCTACCCTTGTCAGCACGTTACTATTCATGTTGATTCTACTTTTTATCATGTCTGTTTGTTGGATCACGCGGCCTCGCTTTTGGGACAGAAAGGCTGCTGGATCCACTCCAGTACCGACTGGTAGAGGAGCTCGTAGCTCCTGCGGAAAGTGGCCAGGAGTTTGATTGCAACCTGATGCACCGCAAGGTACACGCGAACAGCTTTCTCCATGTGCGGGGCAAAGTTCCGGTCTCCCTGGAAGACGTCGACAACGATGGCTCGCAACATACGAGGGATGGCCTTGCGGATGCAAACAGCCACCCGAGCTTCATTCACTTGCCCATTTGGAAGGCGGAGGGCATCGTTCCTGCGATAGAAGAGGAGGCTCAACTGCGAGAGAATGTTACGTGGGAAGATTCGCGAACCATGGGATTCCTCTATGTAGAAGCTCAGTCGGCTGGTGCAGAGACGTCGCTTGTAAGAGGCTTCGGCGCCCTCACGGGTGACACCGGCATCTGCTTGCTGGGCAAAGTACTGGAAGTTCACGGCATTGTACTGCCTGTCCATGTCAAGCACGCCACGGTCCGCCGCAGACAGAACTGCTCT